GGGTCATACATGGGTAGGAGACATACTCGCAAAATCTCAGACCCCTAGCTTCCGTGGTTCCCGAGACACCAAAACTTTTATGGGACCGCACGTGTTACCTGCAGGTACGGGGAGGCTGAATTTAAATGTGCCGGGTCACACGTTGGTGGGGAGCACTCTATTAAAATTCCAGCCGCCTAGCTTTTGTGGTTCTTGAGTTGAAACGGCGGGACAAAACCTGGGACAGAAACACACACACACATACACACACTCACACACACACACACACACACACAGACAACCCCATGACAATATGCGTTTTGTGCTGCTGTTACACAGCGCAAAATGCTTAAAAACGCAAGTACTTTGCTTCGATATTTTGTTCAGCTGTTTGTTGCATCGCTTTGTTCCTTATCAGTAATGCAGCTATCAGCTTCTTCATTCTCTATTTTGGGCCTCTCTAATTTGTTCAAGTGGAATCTTCCACCCTAGTGACGGTTTTCCCTGTGTTTTCTTAACACTGCATGAGCACCATTCGATAATCCACTTTCTCCACCTCTTGATCTTCAGTTTTGCCAAATGACCAACCCAGCTTTTCCTTCTGGAGTATACTGTATGATATCATTCATGCTAGACTGTAGTAGCATTTCGCCTGGATGTGTACTGCAGCTTACCATGGCTCGCAAGAGTACCGCTGATTTTTCCCCCAACAAGCGTGGTATTTCGTGTTTCACTTCCTATTAACTGATAAATTCGTAAATGTTTTGAATATTTTTGTCAAATGATACTTTATAAGCCCTTGAAAATGCATGCCGCTGATTGCAGTAGTGGGGTGCAAAAAAGACAACGAATTCTACAATGAAGGCCAGATCTGGACTACTGAACACATCCGATATCAGTGTACTGTTGAAGGAATTATTCGAGTGCTCGGTAACTTCTCAACTATCTTTGCAGAATACCTATCTTCCTAATTTTGAACTGAATTAATTTTTCGATGCTCTTCTATGGGCTACATCAAAGTAAAAACTTGTTTTGCTGCATACCAAGACTGCTCAATCTGTCAGCATGTGTATACATATTCTAACTACTACTACTCTTAATTTGTACGAATTTATATGTTATAGCTATCATCGTTCTTAATTTATACACGTGTTCTAACAATTACTTTTAATACATCAAAACCACAGTCGTCATAATGATGAAGTCAAGCCCAGTGTGGCGTTTGAATCGGAAAAGTATGCGACTTAATGGACCGAAACATTTGATAATTTTTTGATATATTCCTAGAATTTTATAAATATATATATACATATATATGTTATCAGTAGTTATATATACAACTACTGATAACTTTATACTCTGCCCAGTGACTTTATTGGAATATCCCAACGTATAAGGCTGTGCCAAGTTCTCTTCAGTCTTTATGTCTTTATGTATAACGACAGGAAATGCCCGAGGATTCAGCGCCATGCATGAAAAATTTTTCCTGAATCTATTCTTAGATTTAGCGCTTTAACAGAGCTGTACCAGTTAAAGCGATTCTGTCAATTTCGTTGCTTTATTCCAAAATTCGAGTACACTATTTCAGGTTGTGTGGATGAAAATGGTTTATTCGTAGAGCTTGGCAGGGATATTATGATGCATGGCATCGTACATCGATGCTACAGAATCGATAAGACAACTGTATACCATCGTTATGAATGTAACAGACGAACTCTGGCCGAATGTATCCTGAACGCTCCGACGCTACGGCCACCGACAACCCCATCCTGATTTTATACTATATGAATAGATAATAAAGTCATACGTGAAACACAAACATAGCACAAAAAAGCCAATAGCATCTCAACAATCGATTTCCCGCACTAATGATGTTACTGGGATGCTCCTTCACCCCGCGCGCAACAATCCCAAGCCGTTCTGTCCTGAATTCCAACTTCCACTCAGTCAGTACCCAAATGCCAAAAATTTACATTTACCAAAAACTAGAACGCAAAAAGTCGGCCAACACAGAAATTATCAGAATTTGGAAAGCTTGATTTACTGGTAAGCTAAGATTACCAGAACTCGGAAAGTTGTTGTACGCGTGCCTTAAAACTGAATTTGAAACCTTCAGCTTGCATAGGAACATAGAACATTCGTGTGAAATTACTGCTCCCTACCTTGTCTGGTTTCTGAAATGGCTTCCTCGCCAAAAAAAAATCGCCTCCTTCTTGAAATCGCTTTCCCAGACATAGAACAACTGTATAACTTTCTGCTTCCTATTCTCTTTATCTTTGTTCAAACAAGGGTCTCCTGCAAGAATTTACTCGG